CCAATAACTATTCCGGTCTCTCTTTCTCTCTCTCGCTTTCGTTCTCTCGCGTGCTCGCAGGGGGCGTCACGTACCGTTTGTGCCGAACGTGTGCGCGAGCTGCTGCGCGGCGCGGACGGAGCCGACTGCGGAGGTCTCTGTCGAGGGCGTAAACGGGGTCGAGGTGGCCGGGCTGCACAGCCGCGGGGAATGGAAGCTGCGGCTTTTGCGAGGGCGCGGAGTGTGTCGATGCGTCCGTGTCTGAGCGCGTCTGCGACGCATGTGGCGCCAAAGCGGTAGCGGGCGGCGGGGTCTGCGCCTGCGGCGAGGAGGGCGCATGTGATGGGGACGCGGCCGTCCGTGCACGCCAGGTGCAGCGGCGTGCCGATGTCGTAGTCGCAGAAGTTGGCGAGCGCAGCGCGCGCGGGTGGGGCGTGCCGCCGCAGCAGCGCGCGCACCAGCGCCGCGTCATCCTGCGCGATCGCGCACATTAGCTCGAAGCCCTTCGCGCGGGGCGGTGCGTCGGCGGGCGGCGGGGATGAAATGGTGGGGGGTTGGGGGATGGGGGAAGGGGCGCGAAGGCGGCGGCGGTGAACGAGGAGGGCAAAGGACTAAGTGGAGTCTGGTGGTGTCAGAAGGAGAAGCGACGCGCTTTGCGACGCGCCACGATTGCGTAGGGTTTCCAACTGACGTCCTCTGGTGAATTTTCTGAAACATTTGGACGCTGTACACACGTGTGCGCCCGTACGCGTGCCGCCAAGCCTGTGCATAGTATGCACAGGCTTGGCGGCACGCGGTATGCACTGCTATCGTAGCCGCGTCTCCCATGTTGGAGGGGGGGGCTACAAGATGCTGGTGGAATCCCTACTCTACGAAGTCGTCAATGAGCACGCTGTGCTCCGGGCGACGCAGTCGTCCCGTCTCTCTCTGTGTACTTCGATGCTCCTTTCGCTTAGCTACCTACAGTCTGCTTGCTTATGTAGTGTCACCGCGTTGCTCGCTACCCGCTAGTGTTGCTCACATCTCTAACCGTTACTGACAGTACTTGCTTGCTGAACTAAAACTTACGGTCGCTTAATGCTAAGGTGCTGAGTGTAGCTCCTGCGCGATGCTTCAAAGTCGCTGACTTCGTCCCTCTTCTGCTTTGCATTGTTTTGCGGTACCGTGCCCGTTCGTTATCCGTGTCCGTTCGTTATCCGTGTCCGTGGCAATCGATGCTCGCAGAAATCTATGCATTGTGTCCGACGTGTAATCGGTGGCCTTCACACTTGTCACACTCCCCCCAGTCGCCTTCGTGTAGTTGGCACGAGAATGGAGGCGACTCGATGGCCAAGCGTAGGTTGGCTTTACTTCCAGGTTTCGGAATCTAATACATATCCAGATGACACATCGACCGCGAGGGTTCCTTCAGTGAGAGTGCGATTGAGCAGTGCATAGGTTGATGGGTTTCGCTTGGTTAGGGCGTCGGCTATGTTCTGCGGACCTGGGATCCATCTCATACGGCTGAGTTCACCAGCTTCGAAGCTGTTGCGAATGCGTTGAACGGTTTGTCGGAGTCGATAATCGTTGCCCTCGTGAAGCGTCGTAATGGTGTCGTACAGGCAGCGCGAGTCGACCAGCAGCTCATTGCCGGTGTTGGAGGCTGCAAACATTGAGTTAAGGGCAGTTTTGATGTAGAATCCACGGTCATCCCCATCGGCACATGCCAATATCTCTGCACCATACGAAGAGTAACTCACTCTTCTCTGCTTGTGACTCGTCCAGTCAATCGCGTGGAAGATATCGGGAGCTTGGTCTGTAACGATGCGTAGGCCAGTGATGACACCTGACTGACCGTAGTCCTTGGCCGAGTTCTGGTTGAACGAAGCATCCGAAAATGTGCACACGAAGACTTCCTGGATGTTCTTCGGGTGGCGGAATGTGACCCATGGTTTTAGAGCGAGAAGCTCTTTCACCATCTCATTGGCTGTAATGAGGCTATCAACACTGAGATGGGATATCATCTGTTGCAGTGTAGACGTGGCAAAAGATGCCTGAGGAAGAACCCCGCTTCCCAGATACAGTAGTGTGCATGCGATACTTCGGAACTGCTTAATTTCAGACTCTGTCGCGCGCTCGTTGATTTGTTTGCGTCTTGTGCGTGAAAGAGCAATCGCTTTGATGCGTTCCACGTAGCGGATCATCGACATCTTGACGTTCCCTTCGCTATCTTGTTCGATCTCGCAACCGTTAAAGTGAAAACGGCTGTCCACCACTACCTTGCCGACGATAAATCGTTTGCGGAGCTTAGCCAGGAAGCAGTTCATTGCCGCGACGGAACCACCGAGTAGGAAATCATCGGTGACTTTTGCGACGAGGAGGATGATGCGACCAGTGGGATCGCGCTGCGTGAATAACTGGCTCAGTCCATGGGCTCGTTCAAATCCCGCATCCTTCAACATCCACTCTTCGACCGTCTTCTGCCATTGGCGGCCGGCTTCGACGATACCGTACGGGAGTTTGAGAAGCTTCCATAGAGTCATCAGCGGGCCTCTCCACTCGCGTGGCGGGCGGACAAAAATGTCCCTCTTGATTGGGCCGCTTTGTAGATAAGCCCCCTTTATGTCAGCGGTTGCAAGGCGGAAGCCGAGGAATGTGACGAGCGAGAGAAGAAGGCGGATTACGTTGAGCTGGGCTGTGGAGGAGTCCTTGCGTATGTCGTCTTTCTCATCGTCCCGATTCCCGTGGGGGACGATACGGGCCTTCATGTCGTGGGAGCCATCCTCCTGTGTCTTGACTTTGTAGACCACGTGAGAGGTGATCACGTTTGAATTACGAGGGATGTCGTGGTCGTTGACGGTGGTGTACGCATCGACCCAGTTCGAGTCGTGTTCATTTTTGAATGCTTCCTCCAAAATCCATGGGGGGCGAAAGCGAGCTTACTGGCAGTGACTTGTTTCGGGCCAATCACATCATAAATTTCGGACATAATGTGTTTGCGGTTGGACTGTAATTCGGTACTGATATCCTGTGCGTGCTTTAATGCTGTCTGTGCGTATGTTCCAACATCGTCTCTGGCCCCCTTCTTTTGATGACTGGTGTTATCAGTAGCCGCGAGGGTACTCTGCGTTGCCAAGAGAGTTGGGAGCTGTGGTGCTGTGGGGTCGGGAGTATCAGTGTTGACTGCCGTAGCTGTGTCTGGCAAGCGCAATCGTAAGTGCAAGGGATTTGGGGAGGCGTTTCCGTCGGTGCTGTCAGGAGTTGTTGGTCGTTCCTCGAGCGTGGATTCGACGGAGCAAGACATAAGCTCTGCAGTGAGCTGACCGCGCGGTGCGACGCGGACGTCCTCGTACGCAGCTCGCATCGGTCTTCCATGTTTGGATCGTCGTACCATGAGGCAATGCTGCTGAGCCTCGACGACGGTCGCGGAGATCCATTCATTTTTCTCATTTTGTTTTGTCGACCGGTAGAAGATCCACACCTTGTCGCCAGGGGAGAACATCGGTGGTGTGGGGCACTGTGGCGTGCGGGATTTTAGCAGGCGCTGGAGAGCTCTGGTGGCGACTTGCTCTTTGTGCGCTCGGAGAAGTTCGTCTGTGACTTTGTTGGATGGGATCCCGAGTATCGACGGGCTGTAGCCACGAACGAGTTCGTAGGAACTGAGGAGTTTGTTGCCAGAGAACATGTTCGACAAGAACACTGCTCGGGCGACTATTGTCGCTGGGCTTGCATCGCTCACTTCTTTGTCAAGCCTGGCGATGATTGCTTTTACAGTACCGTTTTTCCGCTCAACGATACCGATCTTATTATGACGTCGTGCTGGTTTGGGGCGAAAAGATATTCCGTGGATGTCGAGGTACGTTCGTAGGGGGCGGCGATTATACTCGTCGTCGGCAGTGATTGCTGTCGGTGCACCATGGCGATATATCCATCCTGTCTCAATGTTGTGTTTTATAGAATCCATGGATCCGTCGTTAGTGATGAACATCTCGGAATATCCTGTGCCGCTGTCCGTCATGTGCAAGAGGGTTCGCTTGCTACTGCGTATATCGCAAAAGGTGAAGTCGATTTGAAGCTCCTCATTGAACGCTTCGTTGACATGGGTCAGTGATACCTTCTTTGACGACGTAGGCCGGCCGCTGCTGGTGCAGATTTCGCATGCTGTCTCAACCTTCTCGATTGCAGCCTCGAGCGATTCATCGAGTACACCGGCATCGGCTAATATCTCCTTGATCTCATCCGCTGGTGCGTGTGTGTAACGATGTATCTATTTGGAGAAGGTGAGTGGCGTTCGTTTGACCGAAGAGTGAGTTGTCGCGAGGAGTGTTGTTACTCTCACCAAGGGGTGTGGTGCGATGTATAGACGCAGTCTTTCATCACCGGGGACAAGGTATGTGAAAAGGATACAATTTGAGGTATCGGTTGGGCGTTTCATTTCGATGTAGCGTTGGTGGGCAAGGTTGAATGTATTGCAGTATTTCCGTACATCTTGGCCCACGATCAATGGTGACTCGCCATGCACCAAGTCGAAAGTAAGGGAAATCGGTCGGCCTCTTACGTCCGGGACTGTGATCGTCCAGGAGCAGACGATCGGTTTTGCGTCAAGGCAATCTTGTCCCCAACCATGGAGATAATGCTCCCTAGGTGGTTCGAGATATAGCTGGATGCCAAGTATATCGCAGAGGGTGGCTGCGTTGTCAATACCTCCAGTAGAGGTGGGTGCTCCTTCGTCAAGGATTGGATTAGGATCAGGCAGGAGCGTGTCGGACCCTTTTACCAAAAACTCTGCTGGTCTAATGTCTTGGAATCCCTTCTAGCATTATTTTCGATAATATCTGGTGTTTCGTTAATGGTGACATGCTTGGCACTTGGGGAAGGCGAACCGACCCAACTAGGCTTGTATGGTATCCTGGCTTGTTGCATGGAGTCACTAGGGTACTTTCTCTTTTCAGCATTGTGTTTCAGGTTATCGGCATACTTCGGGCAAATCGGATCACGCGACTTTGAAGCATCGCGCAGGAGCTACACTCAGCGCCTTAGCATTAAGCGACCGTTAGCTTTTAGTTCAGCAAGCAAGTACTGTCAGTAACGGTTAGAGATGTGAGCAACACTAGCGGGTAGCGAGCAACGCGGTGACACTACATAAGCAAGCAGACTGTAGGTAGCTAAGCGAAAGGAGCATCGAAGTACACAGAGAGAGACGGGACGACTGCGTCGCCCGGAGCACAGCGTGCTCATTAACGACTTCGTAGAGTAGGGATTCCACCAGCATCTTGTAGCCCCCCCCCTCCAACATGGGAGACGCGGTTACGATAGTTATGGGCCCAGGTGGAAGTTCCACTCCGAACAACCGCATCCTCATAGCTCCGAGGTTGACTGCCACAACCGACAAGCTCAAATGGCGCACTGAAGTCCGCCTGTGGACCACCTCCGTTGAGCTCTACGCCGATGGTGGTGACACAAGGTCAAAGGGTATGATGAGTGCTCTCGGCATCACCCTTTACCACGCCGTTGATGAAGCCTTCCGCTCAAAACTCGACCGTGCAATCGACGCTGGTATCCTGATGTTAAAGCCGGACAGAAACGAAGATCCCAAGCAAGTCCAGAAACGCGCAGTGGAAGCCATCATCCAGATTGTGGCCAAAGATTCAGCAACAGATAGTATCCGTAGACTCGTATAGATGATGCGCGATGTTTACTCCTGTAAACGCAAATCCGCAGAGCCGGCTGCACTGTTTGCAAGGCGTTTTCAAGGGTTAGCACTTAAATATCTCAACTACTGCAGTAGCTCTTCCACAGATAAGGACAGCCAAAACTTCGCCATGTTGCTCCTGGAGAACGCTGACATACCATCGTCTGTCTACAGCACCATCGTCACACAGCTTGTATCCAAGGCAAACGAAAGGGGTCAGACCAACAACGATAAAATTTGCCTCACAACAAAGTCAACACTCAACGGTATATCCGACAAAGCCAACCAAGCAGTAACTGAGTACAAGACATGGCGCAGTACCGGGGAACTTTATCTACCGCCCATACAAGCCGACTCTGTGATCCTCAGCTATGAATTGATCGTAAATCAGGTCAACAAGATAATCAATCACAACGAGAACAGTAATACCACAGACTGTGCTGATTTCTCTATAACGCTCGAGGATGCAGTAGATGCGCTTTGCGAAGTAAGGGTTGATACTGCCAACACAGGCACTCACACAGAGGCAAGCCGCCTACAAGGTACTCTTCTTGGAAAACGATGTGCTCCATCCTCATACCAAGGCCCGAACAAGGGTTCCCGGACGCACATACCAGTGGGTACAGGACCAAAAGCTAACGGTCGCTTAATGCTAAGGCGCTGAGTGTAGCTCCTGCGCGATGCTTCAAAGTCGCTGACTTCGTCCCTCTTCTGCTTTGCATTGTTTTGCGGTACCGTGCCCGTTCGTTATCCGTGTCCGTTCGTTATCCGTGTCCGTGGCAATCGATGCTCGCAGAAATCTATGCATTGTGTCCGACGTGTAATCGGTGGCCTTCACACTTGTCACAACTGCATACCGCAAGCCGCCTTCTCCTCCCGCCTCCTCCTCCCGCCTCCTCCTCCCGCCTCCTCCTCCCGCCTCCTCCTCCCGCCTCTTCCTCCCGCCTCCTCCTTCCGCCTCCTCCTTCCGACACCGCCATCAACCCTTCCACGCCAGAATCTGCGCCTCGACGTACGCGGCTATCTCCGCCGTGGAGCTGTTCTTCCCATAGAACTCGCGAAACTCCCCGCCGGGGTCCATCAGGTACGTGATAATCGAGTGGTTCACCAGAAACTCGTCGCCCTCCCCGCCGTCGTGACTATAGTGCACCCGATACGCCTTCGCCGCGTGTCTGACCTGCTCGTCCGACCCGCTAAGCCCGACGAAAGCCTCATGAAACCCGGCCGCGTACTCCGCGGCCCGCTCCGGAGAATCGCGCGCGGGGTCGACCGAGATGATCACGGGCGTGACCACATTGCCGCCCTTCCCGGTCCACTGCACGCGCCGCCCGCGCCCCTCCAGCATCGTCAGCGCCTCACCCACCTGGGTCAGCTCGGCGGGGCACACGTCCGGGCACATCGTGAAGCCGAATTAGACGAGCTTCCACCGCCCGAGCAGGAACGTCTCGTCGACCGCCGCGCCGCTGCTGCCGTCAACCAGCGAGAACGCGCCCTCGATCGCCACCTTGCCCATCGTCTGCGGCCGTATGATCTCTGCCAGGGAGGACACACCGGACGCAGCCGTCAGTCCCTGTCTCCGATGCCCGCGCACACGCTGCGAACAACGTCCCGCTTGCCTTCCATGCGCGCCTGCTTCTTCACGCTTTAGTACCCTAGCCCCGCCGTGCAGACCACGCCGAACACCGCCACCGCGCGCCACGAGATCGGGCCCTGCTGCCCCGTCCGCGCGCCCCCGCCTCCTCCCGGAAGCGCGGCTCTCCCTGTAGATGACGCGTGTCGCAGCAGACGACGCGCGACTGGCCGCGTGGAACGAAACATCGCGACGAGGGCGAGGGAAGGAGGAGAAGAGAGAGGTCCTCAACCCTCGACATCGTTCCCGACCCGCAAGACCCGATTTAGGAGTCCCGGCCCCAGGCCAATGCCCGCGCCTCCATCATGATGGAGGCACCAATGATCATTGGTCGATGTGTCCCCTCGAATTAGAGCCCGCCGATCGCACCGCCCCTGTCCAGCAAGGCCGGCAGTGCCGCCCACTATCCCCATCCTCTCTCGCCCGGCCCCTCCCAGCGGCATTCCCAGACCCGCTCCCTCCGGTCCGCCATGCCGCGCGCGCCGTCCGTCGCGAAGAGCCCGCGCCGCGCGCCCGCCCATCGCGCTCGCCATGCCGCCGCCGCCGCCGGCCGTTACGGCGCTCGCCGCGCTGTCGCTGCTCATCTACGCTTCGGCGCGCCTGCTGCTCGCGCGCGCGCCGAAGGTATAGGCCCGCCGTAGTTTCCCATAGTTTTTGTACAGAATGAGGCAGACTATGACATTCAAAGGAAGACGAAAGTAGTTTATAATGGCGGATCGGGTGACCTCGGGAACATACTTTGCTCGCATGGTACCCATGGCCGGAAAGTACAAACCGCAAATGACTTCAAACATAAGCAGAGCGCCGCACACCTCCCATACATTGGATGATATCGTCGTGACGACAAAGCAAACGACGCCTATGATGTACATATTGCGCATGAATAGCTCAGCGGGGAGGGTGATAGTTTAGCAAGAGGCAGCGCCGGGGAAGGGCGGCGGCTGAACGAGAGGCGGGCGTGCAGGAGACTAGTCGCCCCCACTTCTCTACCCGTCTTCTCTAGCTAGAGAAGACGGGTAGAGAAGTGGGGGCTCGAATTATGCCGCGCGCGGCGACAATGGTGCGAGGGACAAGGCGCGGGAGTGACAGGCCGCAGCGACAGTCGCTGCGCAACATGCTTGCATTGCTGGCCTAACAAGCGGCAGTTCGGTATGAGCGAGTCACACGTGCGCGATACAGTGCGTGTACAGTACTGTTGCGGTAATCCAACTGCGAGGCACCGAGCGAGTCGTAAAGTCGGGAATCCGCCCACTTCCTTTACTCTTTGCTAGTTCGCTGCCTCCCCTCTCTATCTCTGAGGGTAGGCGATAAGTACTACTCCCCGGGAGGCCTCAGCTGTCTCTGATCTTTCCTCCCCTGCCCCCTTTCCTTTCGACCCAGCATCTCCCGACCACCCGGCGCTGCCCCCCCCCCAACTCCTACCGTCCATTGCCGTCCTCCTTGCCGTTGGCGCTACGCGCGACACCAGCTGCACCCCTTTTTCCCTTCGGAAGACTGGATTACCCGCCCTTTCGGCTCCCTACATGCGCGCACGTGCACTCCTGTTTCGGTTCGCGATCCGTTCGTCCACGTTTACACGTGGGGTTCAGTTCTTCCTCAACAGTACTGTAGTGCCCGCACTACCCAATCGCGGCCCATGGCCCCGATTGATCGTTTCTTGCGAGCGTCCCAACCGCCGCACAAGAGACGCGCCAAGCTCACGTCAGGTGCGTTGCAGGCGGCGACTCGCTCCGGGAAAGAAGAGGGCGCGCAGTCTTTGTTGCCGTCGTTGACGCCAATTTCCTGCCGTGCGCTGTGCGGTGCGCCAAGCGCCCCACGCGTCGCGAGAGACGTGCCGCGGCGAGTACCGCGCGAGTACCGTTGTACAGTAATTTACCCGCTCCGATAGATGCCGCATGCGTACTGAATACTGTACGTGTCGTCGTGGACCGTGCGGTCATGCTTGTATTGTATGGGGGAGTGGCAAGTTGAGGGCATCCTCGTGATCTTGCCAGCGTGCCGTACTGTACTAGTGTACGTACAGATGCTCGCTGCTCAAGTTACGCAATCAGGGCGGCTCGTGCAGTTGGGCTCAATACCCATTCAATCCATTTGTTGTATGTCGCATAAGTCTCGATTTCATTCTCGGAAGTGCGTCGGAATTTGGAAGAGAGGACACTTTCTCGCCTCTGCCAAATTCCGTCTAGTTACACCTGTTGCCACACATGTACGTTTCTCAGTCGGTACACGTAGTACAACATCGCAAACTCCCGCTCTACTGTGACCTGCAATCTACTGATTCATCCAGCTCATCGATTTAGTGCATTCATTGGCAATTGAAAGGTGAATCTGGACAAGGGGGCTTTTCGGTTGGAACGCACGACAACTCAGCAGAAAGTGGAAAACAAGTGGACCATTTCAGCCGTACAAATACAAGTCAGGATGACTTGGCGAGAAGTCAGCGCCAAGCCACAGGCCATGATTTGAAGAATGATTCTTCATTCGCGTAATGAAACTTGGCAAAACAAGAATCAGCACCAAGTCACACGATGACTTGGGAATGATTCTTCATTCGCGTAATGAAACTTGGCAGAAAAAAGAATCAGCACCAAGTCACACGCCATGGTTTAGCACCCCCACTATGACTTGGAAATGATTCTTCATTTGCGTAATGGAACTTGGCAGAAATGAAATTCGGCCAATGTCCGAAAACAGGGCTGTATAAGAGAGTCACGTAAAAACTCTCTCACCACTCTTCTCTCTTCCTCAAGTCGTCGCTTGTTCTAGTTTCACAACTCAACAAGCTCCAGACGGATCATCGTCACGGCCGGCTCTCAACAACTTGCGCATTATGCCTAATGCTGAAGAAGAACAATCTTCGTCCGGATCCGCAGGCATCTCTGGCCCAGTGCCAACTCTGGAAAACCAGCCTTCTAC